TTATAGTTGTGTTTATTGATGATATTCTGATTTACTCCAGAAGCAGGGAAGAACATGGACATCATTTGCGAACTGCTTTACAGATTTTGAGAGAAAAGAAGTTATATGCAAAATTTTTCAAATGTGAATTATGGCTGAACAGCGTAGCATTTTTGGGACATGTAATCAACAAAGATGGCATATTAGTGGATCCACAGAAAATTGAGGCCATTGTAGACTAGCCAAGACCAACTAATGTGTCAGAAATCAGAAGCTTTCTAGGGCTTGCAGGTTATTATCGCAGATTTGCGATAGACTTTGCAAAACTTGCCATGCCATTAACACAGTTGACACAGAAAAATGTACCATTTAATTGGAATGGTCAATGGGAGTCAGCCTTTCAAGAACTGAAAACTAGATTGGTAATTGCACCAATTCTGACATTGCCCAATGGAACCGATGGGTTTCAAATTTATAGTGATGCTTCCTACAAAGGCTTGAGATGTGTATTAATGCAAAATGAGAAGGCAATTGCCTATGCTTCTTGACAACTCCACCCACATGAAAAGAATTATCTAACTCATGACCTTAAATTGGCAGTTGTAGTTTTTGCATTAAAAATTTGGCGCTATTATCTCTATGGAGTGACTTGTGAAGTATATACGGATCATAAAAGCTTGAAATATTTCTTTACCCAAAAAGTACTGAACATGAGACAGAGAAAATGGCTGGAATTCATCAAAGATTATGAGTTGCAAATTCTGCATCATCCAGGAAAGGTAAATACCATTGCAGATGCATTGAGTAAAAAGTCAATTGGAAATTTGTCATGTTTGCTCACCGATCAGAGAGAGTTGTTATGTGACTTGGAGAAGAATGAGATTAAAATTATGTTGCGTGAACAGGGCGAGATCTTAGCCGCCATCTCAGCTCAACCTACAATCATTGAAGACATTAGAGAGAAACAGGTACAAGATGAATTTCTGAAGAAAATTATTGATGAGTTTGACTAAAATCCAAGGCCAAGATTTGTGTTTGAGAACAATGTGTTGAAGTTTCAGAATAGACTTTGTGTACCGGATTGTTCTGACCTGAGAAAATGAGTTATGACTAAGGCTCACAATTCAAAATTTGTTATGTATCCGGGAAATACAAAGATGTACCATGATTTAAAACAGAATTTCTGGTAGCCTGGAATGAAGAGAAGTATTGCCGATTTTGTAGTAAGATGTTTGCATTGCCAACAAGTTAAAGCTGAACATCAACAACCCGCTGGACTACTTCAGCCGCTTCCAATACTGGAATAGAAATGAGAGCATATCACGATGGACTTCATTATTGGACTACCTCGCTCGTCTTAAGGTATGGATTCTATTTGGGTCATTGTTGATCGTTTAACTAAATCTGTTCACTTTTTGCCTGTCAAATCTTGGTATAATGCGGATAAGTTGGCTAATTTGTATGTCAATGAGATTGTGAAATTGCATGGAGTTCTAGTTTCCATAGTATCTGACAGAGATCCCAAGTTTACTTCGAGATTCTAGCAGAGTTTACAATAGGCTTTGGGAACTAAACTGCGGCTAAGCAGTGCCTATCACTCATAGACAAACGGCCAATCTAAACGGACCATTTAAACATTGGAAGACATGTTACAGATATGTGTGTTAGACTTCCAAGGAAATTGGGAGACTCATCTACCCTTGGCCAAATTTGTGTATAAAATAGTTATCATTCAAGCATCGGAATGGCTCCTTATGAAACATTGTATAGTAGGAAGTGTCGTTCTCTAATTTGTTGGACCGAGGTAGGTGATAGACCATTGCTAGGACCGAAACTTGTGCAAGAAACAAATGAAAATGTGAAACTAATTCAACAACAATTAAAAACTTGCACAAAGCCGCCAAAAGAGTTATGTGGATGTCCGAAAAAGAGATAGAGAATATGAAGTCGGGGATTATGTGTTTATTAAATTAACTCTAATGAAAGGCCAAACACGGTTTGTAGTGAAAGGCAAGTTGGTACCAAGATACGTTGGGCCATATGAGATCCTTAAGAAAATCAATTCGGTGACATATTGGGTAGCCTTACCGCCAGTCATGGAGCATATGCATAATGTTTTTCACGTATCCATGCTTTGAAAGTATTTGAGAGATGCATTCCATGTGATTGAACCAACTCATGTGCTTCTGAAAGATGATTTTACTTATGAGGAACGACCAATACAGATCATTAACCGCCGAATCAAAAGACTAAGAAACAAAGAAATCCCATTGGTGAAGGTTGATTGGCAAAATCATAGAAGGACTTATGCGACTTGGGAGACCGAAGAAAATATGATGAGGAGATACCCCGATTTCTTTCTTTTGGACCCGATGTTCTTCTAAAATGAAGATAATTCAAGTTTGGAGGACCAAAATCTTTTAAGGGAGGAAGACTGTAACAACCACGAACTATGATTAAACGCTAAACCATGATTAAGAATGCTTAATGAGTAATTAAGATGAAATTCTGAATTAATTGCATGTGTATTACATTATTTGTATTTATATCTATCTACTGTAGGAATATCTGTTGGTGTTTCTATTTTGCTCTGTGTATTGAAGGCCTTATTGGCATCCGATCACGATATTGACTTGATTTATGTATTAGTTGAAATTTTTAGAATTTTATGGTTGGTTTGATTGAAATTCGATTTATAACCAAATAATTAGAATTAAATAATTGTGATTGACTAATATTAAGCTAAGTTTAATTAAACTGAACTACGTGGGCCTATATTTTTTTTTTGTTTATTAATTTGTTTCAATCTTTTTTATTTATTTATTTTAATTTGTTTCAATTTTTTTTTTAATTTCTTTTTACGCAAAAAAAATGCCAATTTTGGTTTCATTAATGTATTTTTTTTTTGTTTTTTATTTGTTTTTTTTTTGTTCGAAAAGGCTTTTTGTGTTTTTTTTTTTCCGTAAATGATGTGAACAATGATAATTTTGATTTTTTTTTTATTTCTCCCTGTTTCTCGAAAAGGCTTTTTTCTAGTTCTTTTTTGTAAATGACGTGGAAAATGAAATCACAATGGCGTTATTTTATTTTTTCTTCATAGTTTTTTATTAATTTGTTTCTTGGTTTTCTTTCAATTTTTTTTTGTTTATTAATTTGTTTCAATCTTTTTTTATTTATTTTATTAATTTGTTTCATTTTTTTGTATTTACTCTTTTTTTACGCACATAAATGCTAATTTTGGTTTCATTGATATCTTCTCTTTTTTTTTGTTTGTTTTATTTGTTTTTTTGTTCGAAAAGACTTTTTGTGTTTTATTTTTGCAAATGATGTGAACAATGATAATTTCGATTTTTTTTCTTAACTTTTTTATTTTTCCCTATTTTCTTAAAAGGCTTTTTTCCAGTTCTTTTTTGTAAATGACACGAACAATGCTAATTTCGATTTTGTTTACTGTGTACAGAGATACATGTTGTACATTATAATATACTTACGTACAACCTCTTCAGCGTGGCCTACCAATGTTACAAACCTACGAATATTAGGTAAACTATTATATATTTCCTAAAAAGCCATTATTACGCATGTACACTAACTTGTCTCGTATGCGAAGTCACATCAACGCCATATGTGGGTCCTCATCCCCAACCATTAAACCATTCTCATCATGTTCAACTTCTGGTATGGCATTTACAAAAGCCATAGCCTCTTCTTCGTTGAAATAGGGATTAACAGTTGCTGGATTGCCTGTATTTCGACGTATATAATTATGTAATGCCATTGACGTACCTACAAACTGAACTTGCAAATTTACAAAATCATACCGAGGCATCTCTCTAATAAACCCCCATCGATTTTCTCAGGCACCGAAAGTTCGTTCCACCACACTGTGTAACGACGAGTGAACTTTGTTAAATAATTCCCTAGGGCTGTTTGCTATCCTATTCTCTTCACTAATGCGGAATTGTTGTTGGTGGTAACGGTTGTCTTTGAAAGGTGCTAGGTAATCTACTCGATTCAGATAGCCAGCATCGACAAGATAATATTTTCCTGCAGACAGTACCATATTTTCAAACAAACCACCCAATTGTGTTTAATTTTAAATTAACGATGTTTTCTCATATATTAGGTACCCAGATATTTTCAAATTATTGTTTTACTTTCTTCAGGATGTGGAAATGGGACAATGTCATTTGTTATTATCTTATTGAAGATAAGACTATCGTGTATACTTTCTTCCCATTCAAGCTAAACAGAGATGAAACACATATCAAAATTGCATGCGGCCATGGTATTTTACATGTGACAGTGCTTCCTACCAAAATATATTGTGACATCTGGCCCCGTAACCCATGCACTAACATATGTTTCGTCTATGGCTCCGATACAATCCTGCACACAACCCAAAAAAATAAGTGACTCCTACAGGTACAAGTAATCATTAATTTTCATACGTCACGTCCAATAAAATGTACTAAGTGATGTTTTTAACTAGTACCTTGAACGATAGGTATTTCCGTTTTGACTGCACGTATGGATATATATAATGCTGACTATATATGGGCTTGCAATGTACAACAGTGAAGTCTTTTATCACCGTTAACACATTATGCACGTGTCGGGACACAGTCTCCCCCGAATGTTGGATCCGTTCTTGGATTTTTTGATTTTAGAACCCTCGCAACACGTGGATAAACATTGTTATGCTTTCTTCAACAGCTAAGCCATGTGGACGTTGCAGTACTTGTAGCCCAAAATCAATTACTAATGTGTGACATAAAGCCGTAAAAACTTTCTTCGGCATGCACACATTTTCCTGAAATTGACCCACATGGCCCGCATATAGTTCAGTTATCCATGCATGCCCGGTCAAAATAGAAGTGCAACATGGCATTTTGGACGTGTTTTTCATACCACTCTTGCACATACCAGCATGCTTCTACAATTGTCCAATTGTTTTGTTGTTGCAGCTGTATGGTTTCCATCCCCAAGATTCATTACATCGATTCAAGTGAAACCTACAATAGTGAGACGGTTTGAATCAGTTTACAAGTGATGCAGTGGGGCAAAGGAAATATTTATGTCACGTCACCATGGAATATATGACGCCTAACAGTAAGGTATAATTGCATTCAAAGTGTACCAAATAAACAAACAGTGAAGAAAATGGTGGTAAGTGGTAATACACAAACCAATAAAACATAAGTAAAAGTTTTTGAAAGTTAGATAATGGGAATGCATCTTCAGCATGACACCGCTATATCAAATTCGGCAAGCCCCGAACAAGTTTCCAAACGGCGCCCCCGCACTAAACTGTAGTTGTTTCTATGTGAGCTAGCCGATAATGTGGTCATCATCAGGCTGGTATATCATCACCTCCCGGTAATCTGCGTTATCCATCAATGTTGAGGCAAAATGGAATAACGGCGTACTAAGAAGGGCAGAAATGTTCCTCAGCCGAAATAGTGTAAAGTGATTTGCTCTTTGTGAGGTGCCTGACCGTAACTTGCTGATTCCGAGTACGCACCACGTTTGTCAGATTGTTCATGCTTTCCACAATAACTGACGCTCCACTTATGGCCTTCTTCGACTTGCCACAATTTGTTGATGAAGTCTGTTTCCTTTTGTCGTTAACAGTCAACACAAGGTCGAGTGAAGAATTTGAATCGATGTCCTGTGCGTGTGCAGGTATTGGATCAATAAATGGATGGCACCGAGATTGTCTGCGGAATTAGATGAGACGTCGGCAGGTTCAACAACTTTCTCTCTTGGGGTCCAATGGTGCTTACCAGTAGCTGGTGCCCTTGTAAAGACCGTCTCCATCAATTCGCAATGTTCCAATGTTTTTTTTCCTGAACTTCGCACAGGCCTTGTTTGTCTGCAAAATAAGACATTGAAAACAAAAACCATTCAGTACATGCAACAGGTCAAATGTTTACTAACAACAAATACGAAAAAAAGTAATTAGTACGAGGCAAATATGAAACGAAACAAACATACGGAAATTACATTGTACTTACCGATTCAATCTTATCCCACCACTCATCAGATGCCTGGAACATACCATTCTTGCTGTCAAAGCCAATCCCTAACACTCCTCAACTGGAATCCGTCAACTTCCTCCAAGTATTCCATTCTTTTTTTAGACTCATGTATTTATTCTTCCACTGCTTGAGGCCATGTTGTCTTCTAGTTATTTTTTCTACAAATTTCCTCACCAACGACTTGTACCCAGCTTGGCTTAGGACTAGGAATAGCCGATTTCCTTCTGTAATTTCATTGGCAATGGGCTGTAGGAAAATTCAGATGGAATCACCGTCCCAGAAGGCCTTGTGGTAAAACTGCTTCTGTGTCTCTTCGACACTGCTTGACTTCTCCAGAGATATGCCTTTGTTTTTCCCTTGGGTACGAGGTAAAGTATGTATGGAAGCCATTTGGACCACGCAAGGCAACTAATTTACGGATAAAATTATCACCATACCATCTTGGTTGTTATTACATCCAGTAACATCAAACCATAGCATAAGAATTTACTTTGGTTGGCACAATAACAATTTATGGCCATTGCACAATAAACACAGAAAGTAGATGCTAAATTGGACAATATATAAGCTTGCACATTAATTAACATAACATTACAATCACATAAAACTAGACATAAAAGTACGAATTATAATAGTGGAAGACAAATAGTAAACACAAGTAGTCATTAATTTGCCCCCCAAACTAGTCAGTTAAAGCAAGACAAAGTTAGTCGTCGCTCTCAAGTTTCCTTACATACGTAATAACAAAATGACAACCAAGATCCATAGCATAGAAACAATTGTTTAAGGAGCCGCAATGACTATTGAATGTGTATGACATCGTCCTGCAAGTGCATGACAATGTCGTTATTGGATGAGGCAAAATCTGCGCTTTGTCTCCTTGGTCCTTTGCACCAACCAATTCAACTGACACAGGGCTGACAGGTGAAAATGACGCATGTGTTAGTCAATTGGTTCGACATGAAATGCAGTAATGACCATTAATGAATTTGGCACTCACCACAGGATGGGGACATGCAAAGTAGGGATGCCTTAGATTTTTGGTCGACCTGGATATCTTAACAATACAGTGGCCATAGCCACACGCACACATCCGACATGGTCATGTACTGGAAGTTGCAGTAGAGGTAAACGAAGCCATGCTATGTTTGTTGACCGGGTGTATAGTGATCCCGATTTTGACCTGACTCTTGTGGTGTTCCGGACTCGGGTATAATGCTTTTATATTGTTGTTTGCTTCTTTCTTCCCTTGTATCTCCTTGAAATCGGCCTTTGGGTTGTTGTGGTTGTGTTTGGGCAGGTTGGTTGTTTATTGTTTTTAAACTTTGTGTTGCCCAGGATTTTGGTCCCCCTGCTCGAGCAGGCCTTCATGTGCTTGAGCGGAACTTGAAAACTCTCAGTACTTTACGCGTCTGCAAAAGTATTAGATGAGTGTTTTTCATGCTCGAGCGGCGTTTTCTATGCTCGACCGGGTGGGCACTCAAGCAGTCTGTCTGTTGTCTGCAGAAGTTCTGGATGTGTGTGATCTATGCTCGAGCGGGCCACTTTTGCGCTCGAGCGAAACAAAATGTTGTGTCTGATGCTCGAGCGTCAACTGCGTATATATCAAATCGCGAAAAGCATTTTTACATCACTTTTTCATATCATTTCATCCTAAACCCTAAAGTTGAGAGCCTCTCTCTCTAAAACTCACATTCGTTCTACTTTTCCACCTAGATCTAGTGATCTCCTTACCCTCATTCCTTTGATAAAAAGATTGAGCTTTACAAGGTCTTCATTTTCATCCGATTAAAAGTTGGTTTCGGCATTGTTGGAGTTTCACCCTTGCCTTGCTTGGTCTTCTAACTTGAGGTAGGGATATTCTATGCCTTAATATAGTTTTTAACCTAGATATTTGTTGTTACGTATAAATGGTGAGATTTGGGGGTGATTTGAGAAAACCTAGGGTTTGGGATTCAAATTGAAAAGAGGGGTTTTTATGATGTGTTACCTAAATGATTATGGGGTTGTGCATATGAGGTTATCATATGTTTAAATGATTAATTTTGGCCTTGGGTCAATATTTGGGAAATGAGAAATTTTTCCATAAAATATTTGAACGTATAAATGGTGAGATTTGGGGGTGATTTGAGAAAACCTAGGGTTTGGGATTCAAATTGAAAAGAGGGGTTTTTATGATGTGCTACCTAAATGATTATGGGGTTGTGCATATGAGGTTATCATATGTTTAAATGATTAATTTTGGCCTTGGGTCAATATTTGGGAAATGAGAATTTTTGCCATAAAATGTTTGAAATAATTATTTTGTATAAATAATGGAATTGGTATGAGAAATGTGAAATTGGGATGATGTATGAATAAATGGTATGGTTGGATTTGTTAAATCATCCACCTATGGAAATTTGATGAATTATCTGTTATAAAGATTATATATATGTTTAGAAATATTTGTATTGGGCTACCGGTGGAGAGTAGCTATGATTATTGTATAAATTGCATGAGAATTAGGTGAATTGAAACTAATCTTTTAATTGTGTCATTGAATATGATGGTATGTTGAGACATTGAATATACATAATTAGTAGTCATTGAATATGACAGTGTTTTTTTTGCATACATTGTATATGTATAATGTGTTAGGAGGAGAAATGAGATGTACTTCATGTTTTGGGATGAGATAGGGGATAGACCCCATTGAAAATTAAGTTGGCCGAAATGTCCAAGATGAAAGTCTTGAAATCATATGTATACATGGGTGTCGATCCCGCAGACGAAATTTCCGTAAAATGGCAAGGTTGAAGTGCTTGCATGGTAGTTATGTTGATTGAAAACCACTGAGTTGTAGTCTCGGTTGGGTTATTTTGAAAATTATAAGATTGATCTATGAATTGAAACGAAATGTACTAACTTGTAATGAATGTATGGGAATAGAATGAGATATGGGTATCGGTACCGTGTGGTCATGGAAGGAATGTGAACTGGATATGAATATTGAATATATTTATATTTGATACTTATATCTTAATTAAACCTCATATATTATGTTAGATTGTTTCTATTGGGCTTTGGCTCAGCCTACTTGGAAAACCATTTTCAAGTACTGGTAACATGCTACCTCTAAGGACGTAGCTTGGGAGGACCTAAGAGCTGGAGGCTCTATTTCGTTGTTTAATTGGTTAAGTGTTTATTTGAGCCAAGGGCTATATATGTACAGAGCTTATGACTCTATTTTGTTGTAACCAAGTAATGTCTTGGAATGATGTAAGTCCGTAGGGCATTTATTTTGTTGTCATTAATCGGTATTACATGCTATAGATTCATGATGAACATTTATGAATGTATATTGCATGTATTATCTTTTGTAACACGAACTCTGATGAATAAAAGTATATCAATTCTATTGTGATCACTTCTCTTATGAGTTGGATTTATTTGTAATATTTTGGAGGCGGTATAGGGTGAAAGACTAATGGCAACATATAGGTGGCACATTAGTCACAGTTCAGGAAATTGACAGATTGTTGAAAATTGAGGAATGTCCCCAAATTGTTATTTAAAAATGGGCTTTTACAACTGGCCAAATGTAACTTGTCAATCACAAATATCTCCGAATGTGACATTTCAAAATTTTGCTATAAAACCAAAATAAAATAAATGATCACGTGTTTCCATTTCCAATTTTGAAGTAATGTACAATTCATATTAAATTTGTTCTATCCTTCAAAAGAAAGATACAATTTTAGATTTACAAAAAACCTCAACATGGATTATTTCCTCTATTTTAGAAACTAAAGTCCAAGTGGTAGCATTTCTCAATTAAGCAAGATAACATGAATTGACTCTGTCAAATTCTCTATTTTACAAATAAACATATGACATTCTCTATTTTACAAATAACATGAATTGACATTTACAAACACCGTCAACATGAATTGACATTGGCAAATTCTCTAATTTGCAAATCACATATTTGCAACTAAATTCCATGTGTTAAATCCATGTGTCGAATTCTCTAAGTCTCTATTAAATTCCATATGTTAAATCAAAGATGTACTGTTGCTCTTCCTTTACAATTGAGATTTACAAAAACTGTCAACATAAATTGATTTGTCCTGTTAATTGCGCGCTTGTAAAAAAAATTTATTTCACAAAATAGAAACGTCACATAAGTTATAACCCATATAGAAACCATGATAGTTTACATAAATACAAATTTCACAATCGAAAAGCTAAGCCAACATTGCTATGGTGCAAAGTCAGGAAAAACATAATCGAAGCGTTCGAAGAGCAATATGTAATAAAAACCCTAACCAAACATTTGCAAGAGAATTACCCTAATCCAAACCATGATAGTAGTGAACACAAAAACTCCAAATTTCACAAAATTAACAAGCGATTCCCTAACCCAACATTTCCATGGACCAGAGAATAAACTTTTAACAAAATCGTGTGAATTCATGTGGGCATAAAAGTAGTTCATGTTGTTCCTTACAGTGGAGGAAACAAATTAATTTTGGCCAAAAAAAAAATATTTTGGGGAAAAATAAATTTTATTTAAATTCAGTGTTGTTCAGGAAACAAGGTTGAAAGAGTTAATTGTAACATAAAAAATTCAATCATCAGTGTTGTTCCTTTTTCTTGTTCCTTCTTGTTCAAAGGGACAATGGACTCTATTGTTATCGTTTCATCATCATGGGAAGATGGAAATAAGGTTAGGAGATTTCACCGCAAAAATAAAACCAAAAAACATGAACCTCAGTTGCCCAATCTCAGAAATTTTGGACATGTGTTATGAGACCCTCAGTTTAAAAAAAAAAAAAACATGTGTTATGAATCCCTCAGTTTTTTTTTTTTTTTAAAAAAAAATGAATTCACAGAACTTGTTGTGAAAAAAAAAAAAAAACTGAATTCAAAAAAAATATATAATCTTGACTTTCACAAAAAAACAAAATTAAATTAACACGAACCTCAGTTTGACACAAAAAACAAAAAAAGTTATCAGAAGCATAGTCTCCATTGATTAGCATAATTTTTAGTTAAGGAGAAAAAAAAAACACGGGGGGGTTTTGGGCGTAATTTCCATGACAGAGCAGTAGCTTCCATCCCACATGCCAAACAACAAATACAAAGAGGAAAATTTGTAATCACCTACAACAATGGGTTTGACGGATGAACCGACCAAATCGAGTTAGTTTAGACGGATTTACGCACAAAAAAAACAAAAACTAAACAGAAATCGTTCAGTACCTGACGATCATTGGGTTTTGCAGACGGTGAGATCTTGTTCGACGCCGCAGATGTGCAGTCCGGTGTCATTCGCCTCTGGCAAGCGTCGCGAGTCTTCTTCGACGGCGTAGATGTGTACCGGTGGCGATCGACTTTGGCAAGCGTCGCGAGATGTCGTTGCCGTTCAGCGTCGGCGATTCTCTTCCGCTTCAGCGTGCCTCTGTGTGCCCTACAAAATTTCAGTGTTGTGTGTGCGCGCTGAAGCGGTGCTGGTCTGATGAAAAAGCATAGTGGAAGGGGGTAGTTTGGTAAAATCACCCTAGCCTGGGTTATGTGTAACCACGTGAAGGCCTTTTGGTGTGGTTTTGTCTGGTAGTGGCTAATTTAGCTCAAACTCCTCTTCCCAACAATGGCTAACCCGTTTTGGCTTAAGAAATTTGGCAAGAAAAGAAAAAAAAATGGGATAAAAGAAATCTCCCATCACTTGTGTGGCTGATTAAAAACAAAGAATGGTAAGAAAAAGAAATATTTATTTGTTAGGTTTTTCTCAAATTTAAATGTAAACTTGACCAACATGTTCAGGTTCACAGGGCTTGCAACAAGTGCTGTTTCAATTATTCAAACTATTCATTTTATAAGGCTCTCTGTGTATATCATTAATGAAAAAAATTAGATAGATCCGATAATCTTAACTTTTATTTTATCATTTTGTCTTCAAAAAAATAAAAAATATATATTTTTTAAAAAATAAACAATTTATTTTTGGGACATTTATTCATAAATCCATTTTCACCTACTTATGTTTTATTTAGTCTAAATTATTCAATGTGTTTGGTTTTAGTTTTTTGAATTCAGTTTTTTGAAAACTAGATTTTTTATTTTTTGTGTTTTTTTGTTTTTAGTGAATATTTTTTAAATTTTAAGTAATTTTTTTTTTTACTTTTTTAGATACACTTTACTTAAATATATCTAAATAGTAAAATATTTGTGAAAATATACTTTAAAAAATTAATAAATATACAAAAATACGAAAATGTACTAAATTTTCGTATTTTTTTAAAAATATTTTTTGATATTTAGTGTATTTTTTAATATTTTTTTCACAAATATTATACTTTTTAAGTGTGTTTATGTTAGGTGTGTGTAAAAATTAAAAAAAAAAATTGCTTAAAATATTAAAAAAAATTCATTGAAAACATTAAAATATGGGAAATAAAAAAGTAAAAATTTTTTAAAACTGTTTTCTGAAAACTGGAACCAAACAAGCTGAACTGCTTTCTTATCATTATTATTATTATTATTATTATTATTATTATTATTATTATTATTATTTTGATGTTTCAATATGTATATGTGTGACACAATTACCAAAATATATCTAATAATAATAGGGTGAAGCACACATTCACACTGTCAAATTTATTTAATGTGAATGTTCATATCACTAAGTTGCTAAGGGTTAAAAAAATAATTGTAAAAATAAAATTATTCATAAAATACCTTAAATATGAGAATTATGATTTGATGGATCAAATGTCTAAAATAATAAGATTTATTATCTTATGGGCTAATTAGGATGCAAATACTTGAAAGAGAATTTTCTAATAAATTACTCTATATTTTATTTTCTCCTTATTTTTCATGGTATACGAAGAAATAATCTCCTTCACATTTTCTCTTTTGCATATTGCATGCTGGTTGCCATGAAGATGCATTAACCTAAAATAAAAGAGAAATAATAATCAAAAGCCATTAACCAATGTGTTACACCTTCAATTCACACAATATAAATTAAAATCTGATGTTGGCAAGGCAAGTAAGGTTTAATTTTCCTGGATTAAGTTATTTGTTTATATTCAAATATTACACAAATAGAAAAAAATATATATATAAAATGATATGAAAAATTTTAATTTTATTATTTTAAAATAAAAGATTCATTAAAATAGCTTTTTTTTTTTTAAAGTACCACATTCACATTATTAATTCTAGGGGACTTACGCGTAATATGTGGACTTATTATACAATAGATTATTTGATAATTAATGGCATTTTTTATCAAACACTATTAAAAAACGTCACTTATTGTTAATTTTCCGCGACAGTTTAAAAATTTTGTACAGAAATGCCACGAATTATAAGTTGTTCCGACAATTTTTTAAACCGTCACAAACAAAATGGCTAATTTTTAACTTTCAGCAACAATTTGATGAAAAATGTTACAGAAAAGCGTCACCAATTGTAAACTTTAGCGACAATTTATAAAATTTGTGACAAAAAAGTCACTAATCGTCAATTTTTATCGAAATATGCAACAAATCATCACAAAAAATTATTTCCAGCGACGATTTTATTAGGACTCAGTTTTAATGAGACTTGATGAGAATTAAGTCTAACTATTATGATCTATTGGTAGTTTACCTTTTTTAATTTTATTATTATTGTTTTTTTATTCAAATTTAAATAAGGAAATTTATGAAATTCTTAACTACCAGTAGGTCCTAATAGTTGGATTTAATTCTCATTAAATTCTATTAAAACTAAGTTCTAGTAAAATTGTCGTTGAGAATAATTTTTTGTGTCGATTTTTTACAAGTCGCTAAAAATTTACAAATGGTGACTTTTTTGGTCATCAATTTTTATAAATTGTCGCTAAAATTTATAATTAGCGACATTAGTGTGACAAATTTTTTAAATTGTCACTGAAAATTGAAAATTAGTGATTTTTTTGTGACAATTTTTTTAAACTGTCGTTAAAACTTATAATTAGTGATATTTTTTTAAAATAATAATTAGTGATATTTTAAAATAATATTTAATGAAACATGCCATTAATTATCATAGAATCTATTGGATAACGACATGCACGTAAGTTCTAAAAAGAAAACTGGGCTTTTCGCAGCTGCACACACGGTCTAGGTGGGCCTCTTAACTTGGTCATCGCCCTGCAATCAATTAGATGAATATTCTTGCTGAATTTTTTATCAGAAGCTTCGGAAAAATTTGCAAACAGAAAGTTATACAGATAACATTTTTATTTGACTTTGAAATTATGAAGATGATGGTAGGTGTCTTAATTAGAAATGAAATTACCGTAACAAATTACATCATTCTGTATAAAATTTTAGTAAAACTTTTTGTCAAATTCTCTATTTTACAAATAAACATATGACATTCTCTATTTTACAAATAACATGAATTGACATTTACAAACACCGTCAACATGAATTGACATCGGCAAATTCTCTAATTTGCAAATCACATATTTGCAACTAAATTCCATGTGTTAAATCCATGTGTCGAATTCTCTAAGTCTTTATTAAATTCCATATGTTAAATCAAAGATGTACTGTTGCTCTTCCTTTACAATTGAGATTTATAAAAACTGTCAACATAAATTGATTTGTCCTGTTAATTGCGAGCTTGTAAAAACAATTTATTTCACAAAATAGAAACGTCACATAAGTTATAACCCGTATAGAAACCATGACAGTTTACATAAATACAAATTTCACAATCGAAAAGCTAAGCCAACATTGTTATGGAGCAAAGTCAGGAAAAACATAATCGAAACGTTCGAAGAGCAATATGTAATAAAAACCCTAACCCAACATTTGCAAGAGAATTACCCTAATCCAAACCATGATAGTAGTGAACAGAAAAACTCCAAATTTCACAAAATTAACAAGCAATTCCCTAACCCAACATTTCCATGGACCAGAGAATAAACTTTTAACAAAATCGTATGAATTCATGTGGGCATAAAAGTAGTTCATGTTGTTCCTTATAGTTCAGGAAACAAATTAATTTTGGCCAAAAAAAAATATTCTGGGGAAAAATAAATTTTATTTAAATTCAGTGTTGTCCATGAAACAAGGTTGAAAGAGTTAATTGTAACATAAAAAATTCAATCATTAGTGTTGTTCCTTTTTCTTGTTCCTTCATGTTCAAAGGCCCAATGGACTCTATTGTCCTCGTTTCATCAGCATGGGAAGATGGAAACAAGGTTAGGAGATTTCACTGCAAAAATAAAACCAAAAAACATGAACCTCAGTTGCCCAATCTCAGAAATTTTGGACATGTGTTATGAGACCCTCAGTTTTTTTTTACTTCCCATAGTTTAAAGTCCCTCTGACCCAAATTTTAAAAGAATAAGAAAAAAAATTGAGATAAATGGTCAAAAAGTTCTAAAATCCTAAAAACTGTACAATAATTATATATATATTTTTTTCCATACGTCTCTCACTCTTTTTCTCTCATGTGCTCTCTCTCACGGTTTATTTTGTTACGAAAAATAAATTGTATAATTTTTTTGTAATTTATTCACAATAAATAAATTAAAAAAAGTAAATTACACTAACCTTTGTTTAAAAAAAATATAATACCAAATATGGAATGATCATTCTTTTAAAATAGTAAATGATAATTGTATTTTGTCATTATTTTTTTAATTAACCAAATAAGAGAATAGATATTTTGATGGTACGATTGTTCATTTGGTTTTATTTTAATGAATCAAACACTTCAGTGTAATTTACCTAAAACATTAAAAAAAATAAAGAAAGAAAAAGGAAAATCGTTTTCAACAAAAATTTGGAAAAAAAAAAAATGAGAAGGTCATGCAATGAGGGTTCGTTATCCATGTTTTGGCAATTATCTTGAACTGCCCGACGACCACACCTATGCGAGGCCATGACGTGGACCTCTAGTGACGCGACACGTATGTGAAGACGTCTTTGAAATGTGTGCTCCGTTTTTGGATTTTTTCCAAGGAATAGTGTGAATGCAGCAAAGATTCTCTCTCTCTCATGACGATGGGGAGATTAGAATGGACCGCAGGACGAGGTTGGCCACACTTGTGTATAATATCATCGAAATTGTCGAAATCGTCAAAATCGCACCGAGCTGCATCGTCAAGATAAATTCGTTTTGATTTACCAATTAAATCACTGATTTTTGGTAAGAAAGATGACAAATTCTAGTAACACTTTTATCAATCCGTCGTTTTCTATTTTTTTTTCCAAACCGCACCGACTCGCACCGCTATTAAATCATATTTTATAATATTCTAAAAAATCTTTTTACTTAAGTTTGCTTGTTGTTCTATATCTTAGAATATAGTTTAACATTACTGTTCGAGGGGAATTAAAAATGTCAGTAATCCAAAATAAAGTTTGATTCCAATTTTCTTTTTAATCTTTTTTTTTTTTCTCGCCATGTGGCAAACTTGCATCAGTTCACTTTTCAATCTAAATACTTTTCAACAGTAAACAT